AAACTCCCCCGTGTGATCAAATTGCGATTCTCAGGAACCATTATGCCATAAAGGCACCATAGTGTGATTAATAAATATAATAGTGCGAATTAATAAATACCCCCTATAGCATCACCCCGTGTATTTGCACTTAACCATGTTCACCCTCGGGGAAATGCTTGGGAGGTTTTAGAAGGTCGCTCATATTATCCCGATATGTTCACATAATTCTTCAAAGTTCTTCTTTTATTGACAATTATGGTAATAAATAAAGTGTATACTTCTTTGTGGAGCTTACAGTGTGTTAGTCAAAAGGCACCCGCGTTATCTTCGAATGACTCCCTCTAACTAGCGTGGGAGCCATTTGTTGGTTGCAAGCTCTTCTCAGCCGTTAACTGGGCAAACGCTGGTGGCAACCACATCATGGTTGACGTTTCCTTCCGCATACAGTCAGAGCAATGACGTGCGACTTACTGGCGTTCGCGGCTTGAACACAGCGATGCGTGAATGGAACGCGACGAGATCAAAGCAGATTAGGCGACTTGTATATAGCTTGGCAACCAAACCCTACGCGGACTCGTGTCGCAGTTCCCACGACCACACGCACCGAAACGAACCGCTTATCGACACTTCCGGAACGCTTCCGTTATTCAAAGAAGCGAGGAGATAGAAACGTGGTTTCGGCAATGCGAGGCGCCACTACATTGCGTCTGACAGCGGAGGATTTGTCCGGCGCGCAAGCCACGCAAGTTCGTATACAGTTCTCGGCGACAAGCGGGTACGCAGTCTGGCCCGTCGAATTCCGTTACCACTTTCGACCAAATCGGCTTTCTCGTGCCGATAACGCGTCCTCGCCTCCGACCGAATCCCTTCCGTCGGTCCTTCTGCAACCAGTACAATATTTCAGATTAGACTCCGCTTGCCTTCCGTCGCCGACAGCGGTAAAGCTTTGCAAATCGCGCATGGCCGCGGCTCCGCGGTGACTGCGTTTCCCGTGGTTTCTGCACGCGCCGACTGCTATAGCGTGGTGATAGCCGTGATTTATTGGTCAACTTCGCACAGTTGTTCTGTGAGCGTAGTAGCGTCGTCATTCGTGTCCGCTACCACATTCTCCCCGCATGCGTTCGCCGTATAATTCGTGATGGCTCCTATAGTCACAAAACAGCAACGACGCCCACGTTCTCTCTCTTCTTTGTTCGGGACTGACCTTCTGACGTAATTCGCATGGACTACGAAGCGATGAGCTCGTAAACACTTGACGTATCTACCAAAAGATGCACCATGAAAAGCGTCATTAAGTGTCAGTATCTTTTTATTCTCTGTTCTCTTGGGTTCATTCAGTGTCGTGTAATTGAAAACATGGAAAGCATTTTAAAGACCCCACCGTGGTGGTCTAGTGGCTAAGGTACTCGGCTGCTGACCCGCAGGTCGCGGGTTCGCATCCCGGCTGTGGCGGCTGCATTTCCGATAGAGGCGGAAATGTTGTAGGCCCGTGTGCTCAGATTTGGGTGCACGTTAAAGAACCCCAGGTGATCGAAGTTTCCGGAGCCCTCCACTACGGCGTCTCTCATAATCATATGGCGGTTTTGGGACGTTAAACCCCACATACCAATCAGAATTTTAAAGACAGTTTTACGGAACTGAACAAAAGTAAATCAAATTTTTTATCGCTATTGTTATCATCACCTGAAAATTGAATGAAGTTTTGCGGTCATTGTTGAAACGTTCAATCTTTGAGAGAAACACTTAGACAAATACAGACCAAAGGAATGAACGCAGCGCGGTTCACCAGCTTGTTTTCACATTTGTTTCAGCACATGCAAGGTGTTTGAAGAAAAGGGTCAGAGATCCTGCAAGTTGAAGAAAAAAAAATTGCTCGCTGCCTTTATAAATGCCTTTTTTTTGTCACTGCAGACTTCTTTAGATTGTGATAAACATCAATTGCGGTAATAAATGACAAAATTTGAACGAACTTTTTATTAAGTGGAGAAAGCCCGCGTAGCCACGCTCGTCAAATTGGAGAACTGATGTTCCTCCTGCATAAAGATCATAGCTGCTTCAAGATTTGAAGAAAAAAAAAGGAATGTGGGCTAGTTTGGATAAATAATAAAGGGTGATGAAATTCGGAAATTTCAACGGTGAAACTGAAACCGAAGCGCATTTGAGTGCAACTACCACTTGACCATAATGACGTCACTGTTTACGAAAACGATTGCAGTGGTGTTATTGTTTTACATTCGTTAATGCACACGCGCCACACGTGCTATGCCAAGCGCTGCCCATACACACGCGAAGCGAAGTCGATCGATGGTTTATATGAGGATGCTCGCTCATTCTGAGCGTCTCGTAATAACAGTGGTGCCGCTCGTCCGTGTATCGGTTTAGGTTCCACCGACGCGATCGCTCAAATTTCATCACTCTGTTACATTTTTAGGAGCCACTGCTTTTTCGCAATTTCAAAGAAATCATGGACACATGGAGGATTTCAGTTTTTCCACTTGTAGCGACCACCTGTCTTCACTAAGTAAAAAATTATTTACATGTTTCTGTATTTTGCTTTAGGGTATGTTTCTAGCCGTTTGAAGATGTCTGCCGTCACAGGAAAAGTAATTAATGAGGCAAAAAGGAATGTTCCATTTCCCTATTTTATTCATTTTGGGGCACATTCAATTTTTTTGAAACTCTGTGTATAACAGTCAATAATGAATGTAGCAAAAACGAAGGTAGAGTATAACAATATTAAGCTTCTTCTGCTTCTTCCTATGTTTTTTTTTTCTTTCCTTTGATGCTGCATTGTTTCTATATACCAACTATATCCTAGAAATTCTCTTTGCGGAGGGGTTATTTTTTGTCGTCATCGTCATTTTAACTTCATTCTTTCGATGCATCAAAGTGTTTCATAAATTTTAGCTATTGTTTCTACCATTACTTGTTCATTTCTGCTGCTCATTATGTCGTAATAATGTGGTTAGAAGTGACGTATCAGCAGTGACTGCGCATTGTTTATTTGGAAGCGCTGCATGAGCAGTCACCTGTGGGTGATATTGAGGGAACATCCCTTGCCACATTCCAACGGCGATGTTTTAGTGCCGCCTCTACTAAGCAACATCCCTTGTGTTCACTTTTTTATAAACTTCCAGCCACAGCAAGAAACCCCAATAGAATATATATATATATATATATATATATATATATATATATATATATATATATATATATATATATATATATATATATGTGCTGCAGCAACACGTATTCACACACAAAAAAGAATAACCCAAAAAATCTACAGCTGCTCGTTCCACACTTTATACAATAACGTACTCTATACTACATTACGTGCACAACATGGACTGTAACTTGAGCGCACGTGTCTTCTTTCCCTAGCTTAAATGAATGTGTTTTATGATCAAGTGACACTTAACCTTTGTCTCTGCATAATTAGACTTGACGCTGGCTACGCAGAGGGTCAAAGTTTAGGAACTGAAACTACACATGGGAGCACCGTGTTGTACTTGGACTAATATTATAGGTCTTACGAACGAGTTGCTTTAACGTGAAAATGATGCTTCTCAACCTCCTTCCACATTTTTCGTCTCACTCACAGTCATTACAGAATTGAAAGCGGTTTTTACATAAGCTTAGAAGTACGCAGGGGGAAAATATCCCGCTAACAAACGCTCTTTGCTATTCGTAAAAGTATCGCATTCGAGCCATGCTCGACACGCGATTGCACGACAAGTTCACCGACCACGTCATCAGTGAGACATGCGAGCCAGCCGCCATTCTTTCCTCGCGCAATAAAAGCGCTGGCGTCAGACATAGCTTTACGTCCGCCGTTCTTCCATTCCGTGATCATGCAGTAAGAGATGACAACACTGGGAGAGACCAGGAAAACGACGGGTTAACACAACACCACAGTGGGCGCAAGGGAGAGGCGGAGAGGGGTTGCATTTCCGTTTATTGCACTGCCTTTTTATTTATCGCTATAGCCTCGTGCCGCCGCTGACCTCGTTACAAATGTATCGGTGAGAGATGAGGTTTACGGTTACGTTTCAGAACACGCGCGCATTTGGGTTCGTTCGCGAACGAGTTCGTCTCTCCACAAGCACTACGCGACTGAGATCACAGTGCTATAGCTTACTTTCCAGGTGAAGCGCTAATGCTTTCTTCCACAAGTTGCATAGAACGCCGCCACTGCCTTGTTTACCAAGAATAGTCGCTGTTGTCGTCCGCGCCAACATTGCTATCATTTCTTTCAACAGCCAACCGGCGCTTATGCGTTTGTAAAATAGTGAGCTCAACGCACAATGCCGTCGTCACTCAAGTGCGGTACACCAAAACAAGCACTACGGAATGGTTTTGCTGTAGAAGAAGGTAAAGTTTGAAAGCCAAATTGAAGAATCTGTTCAAATAAAACATTGATAAAGTAGACTTTTGTGCTAAGTGTGGGCCACCAAGGAAGAGAAAGACACACATAGAAAAAATAAGAGAGGTAGTGAGATGGGGCAACTAGAATAAGTATGAAGCTTCACACTCCACATACGAGGTTGAGGGGATATAATAGAAAGGTAACAATGGTAAAAATAGAAAGGTTTTCAAACAAAGCACCTTCACTCTATACCTTGGGACACTTGTCATAAACCAAAGTTGAAGCCCAGGAGCTATAGTTTTAAATACCAGTTAATGCAGAAGTTGGGATGCCACAATATTAGCCATCTTTCCTTCCAACGAAGGTGCCCAAATGTTTTCAAAGGCGATGTTCAGACTCAAAAAACATAACTGCTGTGATAATTCGTGAAGCTAACTAAGATTTGAAACATAAATAAAAACACAAGAAGTAGGTCGGATGTATATATTTCGAATCTAAAGTATAGGGTGCCTAAAGCGGGTTCTGTAGTCCATCATATTTTCATACACTGCATCATAGAGCATCCCAGTGGGGTGAACTGCACCACACTGTCACGTTCAGATGCAGTATGTCTCCGCATAGTCATGTTCCCTTTCCTTTTCACACGCAGCTCCGCCGTCGTTCCTACGCTCTTTACCGGCCACGGGAGGCAGCCTTCGCAACGCGACCGCCGTATCGCTCGAATGCGTGGTCGAGTGCGATCCGGCGTGCGAGGTGCGGTGGCTGCGCAACAACGAGACCCTCGACGAGTCGCCCTTCTTCCACGCCAGCCAGGCCGTGAGACCCGAAGGCGGCGGACACTTCCACTCGGTCGCCTCGATTCTCTCGTGGAACATGAGCCAGCTGCCGCCTTCCTCGTTCGACTACAACACCTTCACCTGCCAGAGTAGCGAGAACGACGTCGGGCCCGGAGTCTCTAGCACCATGCTCTTTCGCGTAGAATGTGAGTACTGCCTAAGGCTTATATAATGTTATAGCGTTACACTGGTGGGAGTTTCAGACATCATATATATATATATATATATATATATATATATATATATATATATATATATATATATATATATATATATATATATATATATATATATATATATATATAAAGTAAAGTTGTTTCCACGCTAAGAAGTCTTGAAGGAGCTGTGAAACTAGTAGAATTAGTTGAAAAGTTTGACAAGTCGACATATTGTATTGTCATTCATTTAGGTACCACTCCTGATATTTAAATAGTGCGTCTTGTTTCATTTATTCATAAACAGGTGTCAATTTTTTTATGTACGCTACTCGTACGCTACTCGTACTGCGACAATATATGGCGTGCGGGCAGGAGGGGGGTAATCTCTTCTTCACGTGTTATTATTATTATTATTAATAATATAATTTTTATGTCACATTATTCAGAATCACTCATGGACACCGATGGCTTAGAAAGAGAGTTGGTTGTTTAGTTGCTTGTTGCTGTTTCGTGCACAGTGCGCCCAAGGTGTACAAAAGGAAATATAGCTACAAAATATGATTAACAAGTCACGTTACAAATGGCTATAAAGCCCTGAAACTACACTTAATATTAATCTCGGTGCTTGCATTAAAAGCTCACTTGGATACGTGCCACGGCAGTATCATTTAAAAGTACAAGAAAGGCCAGAGTTCCGTGTTCTGAGCGAGCAAACAAAGCCCAGATTATCGAAATTTCTACTGTCATCCGCTGCGGCATTCTGCATAATCGTATTGTCGTTTTGGCACGTAAAAACCTAAATATTGTTCTGTAAGATCAGTTGGTGCGTGGGCACATATGTAATGACACAACGCGGGCTAATCCTGCAGAAATACCCCAGCAGCAGTTCCAGTATCCTTCACCGCACGGCGAAAGTCCTTCGACTACGATAGGTTGTGCAAGTTTCGCTGCAATCAACGTCTGTTACGCAGTGAAGGTCAAAATCAAAACACAGGAACATTCTGTATGCAACGCATATAAGGTCTTTGGCCGAAATTAATCGCGAGTCTATCTCTACGACCTGTTTTGTAACAGTAACACTGTTTTTTTTTAATTCGAAGCATTTCTTTGCGTACTGCAAGCACTTTTGGCGTCTATCTACGTATCAATCAATGAATCAATGAATAATATTAATCAACCATTCTATCTATCTATCCAGCCACCTACATCTGTGTGCTCTCGTGATATTAACTTAAGGTAAACCAAAGTGAGTCTGGGAAGGTAAGGTGCTTTAACAAATACGACTCGCTGGTCATGAGATGAATGGTGCCACAATCCCGTCGTGTAGGTCGTCAAACACTTTCCGCCAGACAGTGGCACATACCCATGGGTGGGTGAGTGCGACTAATATGCGGGAATGTGCCACAGGTTGTTGGCATTTAATATCGACCCAAGAACGGCTAGAACACACATGAGTATCTTGAACGTACGAGCGTGAATAAAATGGTGACATCCGCTGCATTGAGTCATCGAATGTAAAGAAAATATCAGGGTCCCAGCAAGAGTGAAATCACAGCATTCTGCATGGCAACCATGTATCTACCACAGAGCCATGTCAGGTCTCGCATATGCTCTTCGAACATACTGTAAAGTTCATGGAGCGACTATTGATGATGCAATGATGGTGATCAAATTTTATAAACATTACATTTGTACTCTTACGATACAGCCGTCACGTCTGGATATGATCAAACGTAGTTAAGCGCAATGCACTGAAGGTTATTGACAGTTCATATCAATCAAGGAACGGGGCGAAACAGACCTTTGTAATAATAATTCGACAACGTTAGCAGATACCAGTTCATCTTCACAGTGCACACGAAGTGAATGGCGACAGGTTGGCAAAGCTATCGGTACTAAGGTCCATAATGTCTACTTTGAAGTCGCTGACTAGTAAAGAAGTGACATCAATGAACGGGCGCACGAATGAGTGGACAGGTGGACATATGTAATTTCTTACAGTTTAGTTGTAGCTCATGTCAATTTCTATGGTGAACATAGCTTTTCGAAGAGGCAAGGACTATTATTGCTAGTAGGTGAGCGTGTGTTCTTCCTTCTAGCTAATCTGGCGCTATAGCTCTGAGCGGGGTTGAGCACACATGGCAGCAACAATATTACAAATAGAGACAAGAAGTGCGGGTGCGATGTGCGCCACTGACGTAGACAGTGAGAGGGAAAGGGAGAGAGAGAGCACACAAAGTTCAACTCATCACGTCCCTTTCCTCATGCCTGAAACTTCAATTTTACATTGGTACTCATGCACGCACACATACAAACCAAATGGAGGCGTGAAAGCAATGGAAAGTGTTAAGGTAATGTTATCAGAAGCACGTTGAAGCGAAAGGTAACGTAGTAAAAAAACAAACAAAAACTATACCCGTGGTAAAATGGACGAAATTCAAAAACAAAATGTTTTTGTGCATTTTACTTTAGTCTACGTTTTTGTTTCCCTACAATGTTTGCCCCCGACCAGATGAAATTCAGTAACACTCTTAATCATAAGAAAGCTATCCTGAAGCGTTTCATCACCCCTGACGTCACAGTTGATATTGTCAGCGTGGTGAGAACGATGAATAGCCATAGTTGATCGAATACCGTTAAAGTTTGCTTGCGTCTCTATGAAAACTTGAACTTCACATCCTGTAGTTTTCTCTTACAATGCTATCACTGTCAAAGCTTCACTTCTTGGGCCTAAGTACAATTTTTTATGTTTCACTTAAAAATAGCCACAATATTGCCTTACACGTTCTGTGGTTTAGTCTGCATGAGATTTGGTCACACAGAGGAATAACTAAATTCAAGCCCTCCTGTGACTTCAATTACACTTCGGTAGTGTTATCAGTGGCGCAGTGTATCGTTATGCCCATACACTCACCCCAGGACAGCTGTGTTCTCTCTGTTCTAACCCAATAAGGCGGACACTTGGTCAACGCAGCGTCTGCCAAACAGACATCTAATATCCATACATACGTACACCCATCACTTCCAAATTCCAGTTCAATGTTTCGAATATGTTCTTTTTCTATGCTCTGTGATGACCAAAAGAGAAGTATACAAGTAAGGACAGTTCGAAAGAGTTATTATATTTAGTTATCATTTTCTGGTAAAAGCGATAGTTCAAAGCAGAAAGTATATAGCAAGAAAAGAAAGAATGCTATCAGTGCAGTAATTCTCATGCACACTGTCATAAACTCATACAAGCCACCTCCCCTCCCCTCTTCCCAACGCCCCACGCAGGTTCAGTATAACATACGCGCACATATAAATCGCCAGACTTAGCCGTGTCGCCAGCTAGTACAGAAAAAGCCGCAATAACCCAGCGTCATCAAACTACACACCGCTAGCAGCAGCAGTCACCAGACATCTCCGACTGCTATACGACATCTTGCAGAGAAGAGAGGTGTGTAAAATGAAAACGAAAGAAAGCGATACTACAAGTCTTTTTCGTTTGATCTGCGGTGGATTGTGAGAGACGAGGTTCCTCTGCGGGTCGCCATATAAAGTCAAACAGTGCCGTCCCTAATTTGGCACCAGCACGCGACATACCGAATGGAACGCGGAGGGGAAAAAAGGGCAAACAGGGAGCAGGAAGCGATAAAGGAACTCACCTCCCTTCTGAAACCGTCTCTCTTTCTATCTCCCATTTTTTTATTGCGCTACTAGCTACGTTCACACACTTGGCGCTCCACGGCGACAGCGCGGTTTTTATGAGGCCACCGCGAGACGCTGTCAGAACAACGGCGCACACAGCGCGACGGCGTTTTATTCGCTTCGCTCTCGGTTCTTTGAGAGAACCTTGCCCGTATAAAAAAGGAATAAGAAACGCGAAACCCGAGGCTCGTCATTTACGCTCGACACGGAGTGTCCCGCAAAAAGCGAGTTCAAGAACGACCACCTCCATCCATGCTTTTTTTTTTTTTTTTGCCAGTGCCAGTAGTTCCTCACTCCTTTTGTTTTTCGTGACAACGCAGCGGTCGTCTCTTTGTTCTGATCCCTAGCTGCTCTTTGACATGTAGTTCGCGATAGGGCTCGAGCGGGCATCCCTACCGAAATTCGCGCTTCCCCGACCTCCGTTCTCTTCCCCTTATGCGCCATGATCGCAATACATTTGCGGAAATGTCGCGACCGTATACTGCAGGCGCAGACCGCCACTGCCGTAGTGGTGGTAATGCGGTGCAGTGCATTGAAAGCTATTTCTCGCGTCAGAGCGACATTGAGATGCATGAAATGTGGAGAATTTTGTGTGAACCGAGTAATGATAAGGCTATTTACGTATAGACAAAGACATTATGGCCGGCTATAAAACCCAAGATGGGATAAGCAGGGCTGTACAAAGAGTGTGCCTGCGCGTTTTAGATCGTTCTTGTGCCTTTAGATACAGCTTTACACAATTATTTTTACAACAGCAAAAAACAACGCCGTTGCAGTTGATACACAATAAATGAATTGGCACAAGTTGCCAGACGTTATAAACCTAGTTAAAGTATTCGGATTCTCACTCGCATGCAGGGAATCCACGTGCATTGTCAACCCATAATTTTTGTGCGCCAGACGCTTTAGCTTTAAAGTTCCCTTTGCACTATGAAATCCTATTGTTTCCGGGTGTGTTGAAGTAAGCAGCTCTGTAAAAGCCATGAGCACATCTGTACACTATTTTACGCTATTGGGACGGGAAAAACATCCCTTGAGTGTAGGTGACATGGCGCCTATGATGCGCTCATTTGTTCTGCCTTATACTCTTAACTTCCCGCCTCAAAGACTGTTTGCTGGCAACCTAATAATGCACCAACCAGTGAATTTTCGCACACTCCTACATCTATACACAAGCATATCTTTATTGTGTAGAGGCAGGGAACAATGAGTGTACGAATTTCTACCACATCCACTATCATCCCTTTTTTAAACTGTGCCACTCCTGATCAGTCATGCCGGTAGTTATCCGTGATCCTTCTCCTCTTTCTCCCTTTATTTATATATCTCTCTTTCAGTCTGTTTTGTAAATAATTAATTTCTATTCAAATTTTGCTCAGAACACATTACTGATGACCTAGCGTCAAACGCAATGCGATACCATTCACCATGGGCTTTCAGCTGTCAGAACAGTGCCCACTGACTTTGCACAAGTATGAAAATTAGTTTTTCTAGGAGCGAAAAACCTATACTCGGTACTGTACGTTATCTTCATTGACCAACTAACAAGAAATTTTTACCAACCACGAAAACGTTTCGTCGTGCTGTATCAGCCCTTGCGCACTCACTCGCTTGAAGGCTGAAGTCTGCACTCGATTCCGCCTAAAGCCGACACGATTAGAGTGTGAGTAGTATTGCGTATACATAAAACGAGAACCACTACCTCCTGTTTTGTCGACTTCACACAAAAATTCTAACCTATCGAAAGAAGGTCGGAAGGCGTGTTTTGACAAGTTGGGGAAATAAAAGCTTGAACACCATGTATATATTGCGGAGGAGAACGAAATAATGGAAGGGAACAGAGTCGCCGGCAGCTAGGAGAATAGTGGCAATAAAAATGCCGTGCGCGGGGGAAATGTCTCGCGAAAGCGCAGTTGACAGCAACTGAAAAGGCAACTGTCGGAGGTCCACGGTGGCGCGAAAAAAGCGGGGGCAAAGGGGAAGTATAGGAGTGAAAACTTAGTTTATGCTTTTTCGATCATTGAAAGGGAGGGTGGGCAACGGGATCTTGTCGAATGGCGGCAGCATTCGGGCAGCCATATGTGCAATGAAATGCCAGTTGTCGCACGGAGGCTGTTCTTTCTATCGACCTATAAACCCAGGAAAATAAATTGCAGTAAGATGTGCATAGGAAGAGAAGAAAAAAAATACTACTCTGTTTGACACGGAATTTCACGAAGCTTCTCATAATGCTGTATGTTATAATGTGGTACTTTAAAAGCATAGTTTTGTCGTATTCTTCTTGGTTTTCTTTGTACACGATGCAGATTGGAGTACTTATCACGTGACACGGTATCCTAGCTTGCTGAGCATGTTGATGGTGGCATATGGTTGAAACATGAATTAAAAATGAGAAACAAAGAACATGCAGGAAGGAGGCAGAAAAGGCAACGAAAACTAGAGCATCCGCGGAAAGACGCTTTGATCTTACGGGCACGTGATTTCGAAAATTTGTGCCCTTCTATATATTAAGAGGACACTTGGTGACACCTTTACTTTGGTTTGCTGCCCATGAAGAAATACGAGCAATACACGTGAAGTAATGTTTGGGCTTTTAATTGCACTGAAACGAAAGCTTTGTCACAAAATAACCTCCCTCGTAATTAGCATTTGTGGACATTTATATTCATATTTCATCGTTGTTTCCAGTTTCTAAGAAGAAAATATACTAATCACCAGATTGAGAGTGATAAGAAATCGCAGACAATAAACGCTTGCGGCAAGCGAATTGCGTTTAACCTGTCATATAAATATTTTTTTGCTATCATAGAACATGCCTACACATGCCTGCACCTGAGGTGCAGGCATGTGTAGGCATGTGCTTTGAAATTATGTCAAGAGAACCCTTTTTGTGTTTTTGCAACCCACGTCAAGGCCATGCTGTAACCGCCGGAGCAAGGTTGCAAGGAATTGATGTGTGAGGTTTAACGTCCCAAAACCACCATATGATTATGAGAGACCCCGTAGTGGAGGGCTCCGGAAATTTTGACCACCTGAGGTTCTCTAACGTGCGCCCAAATCTGAGTACACGGACCTAGAGCATTTCCGCCTCAATCGGAAATGCAGCCGCCGCAACCGGAATTCGAACCCGCGACCTGTGAATCAGCAGCCGAGTACCTTAGCCACTAGACGACCGCGGCGGGGCAGGTTGCAAGGAAGCACAACGTTTAATATGGCGTAACGTCGCTGTGCGCTATGAAATAGGCACAAGACACAGCAGTGCGTGTCGTACGGTGCTGTATAAGGCTATTTCTGTGCGCCCATGTTGTTAATATGTGGTAGCGTTGCACTCATCGCAGCACGGCATGCGCGTCGATCCGCAGATCCTCCGGAGAAGCTGCAGGTGTCGGTGGTGCAGCTCGACCTCTCGGAAGGCGAAGTACCGCCACGCGAGGTGAGCTGCTCGGCGTCGGCACACCCAACCGCCGAGTACCAGTGGCGGCTGGGCGCGCTCACCGTCTCGCGCGGCCCCACGCTGCTGTTCAACGCGACCGCTTCGAGGGAGATGGCCGGAAACTACACCTGCGTGGTCAGCAACCGCCACGGACGAGCCATGGCCGCCACACTCGTCACCGTCAGGCGTGAGTGGATGAGCGTCTTGCCTTTGCTTGGCGCGTAAACTATCTAATTGGTGGAGTTATTTTGCGCACATACACGTTCTAGTTAGTACATGTTTCTTGCGCAGCTCTTCGGCTGACAAAAATCAGGAAAACAGTGGCAACCTGTAGGCAAGTTCGGTTATGTAAGCTCATGCACTTCTTAATAACACTTCTTCTGGGATCATTTGTTGCGGTTTGTAAAACACGACTTCTCTGCGCTAAAATAACAGACGCAAACAGAAGAACACAAGTATACTGAGCACCAATTAACCGATTTTATAGAAAACTAAAGGTGGGGCCCAATGACATTCTATGACTTTCAAAACAAAGCGAATGTTCTATGTTTACACATATACTTATTGACGGACTAGTCGGTGAAGTTGGTGAAGTCAGCGATGACAAAAAACTAATTTAGACACCAAGACACCACCCAAATGTGTGTTGTAGCAGTTCAGATTTCATTCTCATGCTGAGAGCGCCTAGAACTGCCTATGTAAACCATGCTGTACATGTGGACCTCTCCTCCCTTAAGGAGTGCCAAAATAACCTCGTCTCTAAAGGAGTGTGAAAACACCTTTGGCTCTAAGGGGTGTCACAGTTCATGCGTCGGTGCAACTTTCCAATCAAGCGGCGTGCACTATGGCCTTTGTGCAGAGATGTGTATGATCAAGTGGCTGTGGCTCTAAGGGAACATACAACACATTAATATGATTGGCTACGAGAGGAGTGCTCTATAACCTGCTAAATGCTTTATATTACGCCCATCGTCATGTGGTTTATATATTCTTCAGAATTTCAAGGATATCATGGGTCATGATAAGCAAAACAAGCGAGAAAAAAAATACATACGTAAAGGAAGGGTATCCGGGAAATGTTTGATAGCACAATGATTTGGTGCGAGAACTTCGACACAAATTTGCTTCGAAGTGGCCGGAAACAGCGGTGAGCAGATACTGAGTCATTTCTATTTATAATTCGTGGCCCTGTGTGGCAGATGACAAATATTCTTTTGAACAGTGTAGAAGCATTGGGCGATACAATCCCCACTCATTGGTCGTGGCTAAGCAAGTTATCAGACTGGTACATTGTCATTTTAGCGAACGTCAATACCCCGATACCCCGAAGGAAGAAGCAGTTATAATCGCCTATGCGACAGATAAAAAGCAGTCACTGGATCCAGAGAGCGCGCCATCATCGCGAAAAAGCGAATAAAGGAAACAGTGCCCCAGGGTCACCGTTCCTATCGCACTTACTTTTAAATGGAAGTATTCCCCGTTTCTCTATTCCCGGTGTCAAAGGCAGCAATAAAGACTTCACAAAAGAAAAGAAGTAGAATCCTCCACCCACTTTCTTCCTTTTTTTTTTTTGCCTATTCTTCTATTTCCAATCTCTCAGGCTCTCGCAATCTTTTCATTGCTGGAAACCATCGGTGGGATCCGCCTTTTGAGTTCAATTCTGGGCTTAATCGCTTCCTTTATCACACGAACGCTTTTCACGGCCCGCTGCCTCTCTTGTCGTTCCTTTGAAGCTTATCGACTGGAGTAGCCCATTTTTACTTGTGCTCTTTGTTGTATGTGTTGGTGCTGTACGCTAGAGCTCACTGACATCGGTGCCTGCCTTTGGCTGACGGCGTGACAGTCGCGCAGAATCACATACCCGCACTGCCGTTGCTGGTCAACTTTTCTTTGCCGCTACTAGCCGCTGATGGCGAATTCATTTTCTGTTTGTTTTCACGCATGGTCCTTTTCTCTTGCGAAACCTAATTCTTTGAATCCCTCTTGTCGAGCTGTGGAAATCTCCAGATTGGGACGCTTACTGGTGCTTTGACGTCGTTCTCACTTCTCTCTCTCTCTCTTTTTTTACTCGCCTCTCGTCAAGCTCAAAGTTTCCTCGCAAATTCTATCGAACGAAAGAACAAAAAACACATATAAAGCCATGTGTTGCGTGACAGCGGTAAAAAAAATATTTGCGTAATGTGAAATAATGGCCGAGCAAACGTTCTAAAAGGTAAATGCAGTCACACAAGACAGAGAAACATGTGACAGGAAATATATCTGAAGGAAAATAAAAGAATTCACAAGAAACAGAGCAGAGATGCACCAACAGTGAACATGAACGTCATTTCAGCGTGGTCGGCCTCCTCTTTGTGTTCCGTTTTTACATCCTTACTTTTTCATCAATCGAAGCACTCAGAATGAACACAATGGCACACCGAGTTCGCCACTTTTCAGTGTCAAAAAAATATTAACCCAAAACCGCTCCAACGCTTTCTTTTGAAGGAAGACAGGGGGCTCATGGAGCACTGTTTCTTCAGCAAGCACGGCCGAATCGCGATTCGAGACGAGAATAGAGAAAATGTGGAGCTCAGTAAACGCCACAGGCACAAAAGGAAGCAAGAAGCTTACCAAAGGAAGACCTGAATGCGTGCTGGAGAGGCGAGGAAATAGAAGAAGTGCTAGAAAAATTTGGAGGAGTGCAGGGGAAGGAAGGGTCGACGGGAATCCCCTCGCACAAGAAAGTCGCCTTACGAGGTTGGCTGCGGCGGATGCCCAGAAGGTGGCAGCGGCGTCGGTGCCTCCAAATGGGCCTCCGGCGTCTGTGGTCAGCCGAGCAATAATGCAGCGTCGAGATCCAAGCACGCCGCGGCTGGGGGCCGAGTTTTGAAACAGGTCGCAGCCCCAAGCTAGCTCGCAAGCGGAGGGTCCCCGAAGCACGTATGCGGTCAACGGGTTATGAGTTTTGTTTCACTTTTTTGTATTTTATCTTTAGGGTTCTTTTCCAAGGCTCTCTGGAATCCAGTGAATGCTCTTCTTTTTCTTCTATTCCCTTTTTTTCCTCCTTGATTCGGACGGACGCAATATATACTCTCATATGTTGGTATCTGTGCCCGCGTTTGTGCGGATGTGTGTTTCTGCCCGCTTTGGGCAAGCTGCTGTGCACTATGAAGCCACGTACTGTGCCCCTCGCTCGGTTCTATTTGATTTTTTCTTTACTTCGTGACAGCCTACAGCAGTGGTTGAGGCCCGGAGAGCCGCGCTGCATCTTCTTGGTTCGGCCGCAATGGCTCCCGACGATTGCTCTTTGCCTCGGCAAAGCCGGATGCCACATGGGGATTTTGGTTGTTCTTGTGTACCGCAACAACCTTTGCAAGAAAACAAAAGTCGAGAGTGAACGAGCGGCGTATTGCAAGGCGGAGGCTCCTTTGAAGCCCTAAGTAAAAAAAAAATCACAAAACTCGACCGAAAGAACCATAGAGGCGTCTAAAAAGAAGCGATCAACGCAGATACTGGGTTGCGGCAATACTTTTTTGGTCGGCAAAGAGGAATGCATATTTCTTCGGGCGGGACGTGTAGGGGTGAGTTGGCGGGCGTGATACCTGTCTCTGCCAAGCTGGGGAATACGTCAACGTTGTGTTTCCGTAACTTATGATTGTTCCTGCCACTTCTCTTTGTTCATTTGTTTGTTTGCAACAAACGTTATTCCCTTTTACCATACGTCGTGGCCTCTTGCTCTTCCGCCAGCTCCCACGACCGCTTGAAGTGGAATTCAAGCCGGCAGCGTTCGCATGGCCAGGAAGTTGGCTGCCGCAAAATGGCTTTCGCTTCCCTCCGCACCTTCAATTTTTCGAGCGCGGCGTCAGGTTTTGTGTCTCGCGCTGTTCCTTCTTCCATTTCGTTAAACGTAAGAAGCGAAAAGGTGGTTGTTGATGTGCACCGTAGTGTTTTTCTTTTTCATCTGCAGCAAAGATGGATTCGCCACGGCAGATTGCTCTTTTAGTCAAATTTTCTTTCTGCTTTCCCGTCTTCGTTCCAACAGATGCATTAGTTTTCATCCCAAGAGTTTGTATGCTTACTTTTGAAGCGGCATGCCGCGTTGGAGTGCTTGTATTATTGGTCGGACACATTTCAAACGAAGCAGAATCGAATTCGTCACCTGAATGCTGCGCCGCGTGGCATGCATACAGAATACGAAGCGAGAAAAAATTTGATGTACCATTGGTTTTTCAGGCCGGTATAGACTGTATTCATCTGATAAAGGCGAGGCCGGCCTGATCGAATAGAAGCTTTCACCAATGTGAAAAAGAGGCGACAAGTAAAAGTGGTTGCGCTTCTTGACAGAATGTGAAGTAAACTGAGTGAAATCAGAAGTAATGACATCTACATGCTGGAACAATGTACATTCTCTTAACATGCAGAATTGTAGCGATAGCATTTTTCATATTTTCTGTACGAGAGGAGCCAGGATAACAAAAATGAATGATAAGGAAAGGCAAGAACTTTCTGCTGGTTATGCTTAGAATATAAGAAAAAATTCAAGACAAGTGAGCTGTTATTTACAAAAAAATACAGTGCAATGACATTTGAAAAGCAGAGTAAGAAAAAGAACACATGTGTAAATTCGGCAGACCACACGTACCTTGGGAATCGATGTCATGCGAATGATGCGCGTGGTAGGCGACTGTGTTGTAATTTTCTTATTGAGCGAAACGATACAAGTGCCTAGAAAATATGTACAATTGCATTCAGAAACAAAAGTTAAATAGGCGCTCATGTTTTTATATCCAGTTGTTTACAGTTTTCAGTAATGATGTAAACAGCAACATAAGTATTAGCAACACCAGACACCGTAATCTAATATGAAACGCTGGTGCTCGCGAGGATTGTAGTCCTGGACACTGCAGCATAAATCAACCTCAGCGGTGGCACATTCCGACAACTGACGTTAAACTGACATGACAGCTGTATGATAGGAGGACATATGTAACGTTAATGAAACTGTATAGCCAGCACTGCAATCACAATTGTCGTTTCATGACATAAGGTCTCTACCTGAAAAGTGGTTGCGAGACAGAGCGTGGCTCTGCGCTTGAATATTTCATTGTCACGCAGACTGCTGGAGTTTGGTTTCTTATGGGACCCTTACGTTTATTTTTTGAATTCGTCGGTGTAAATCATGCCGATTTCAGCTTCTTTTTTTACCCC